CAACCATTTGGTGGATTAGTTAAAATCCACGTATTATTCCCCATTATAGAATCCATCTCATCATTTATTGCTTCTTTCCAGAAAGCAACATCTTGAGAATTCATGGCTTCCTCAAAAGTATTAGGATCATCCTCTATATTAAAATAATATAGATTTTTAGTCTCTGTAGACTCCCTTGATCCTTCTATCAAGTACATTTGGAAATCTGGTCCAAATGTTTTTTCTTTTCTTGTTCTTTTACTTTTTCTAAGCTCAGATTCCTGTGAACTTGCATGATCATGAATTTGATCATCAACTTTGGTCCCACTAGAACTGGGAATTAAATCCTTAGTTCTATTTATTGATGAAAAACGATTTTCATCAAAGATAGCATCCCGGGACTCTATTACGGTATGAACCGAAATAAAATCATTTGGTTTTATAACATAGAACTTGTATGCTTTGCTGTGTTCTGCATATCCTATAAAAATACAGTCTATGCCTTTTTCTCCCAGAGCCTTCCGTTTAGGTTCCGGCAATCGTACCACGGCCCTGCAACCCCAAACTTTCAAGTAATTCAAGTTTGGTTTTCTTTTGTGCCAAAGTTCATAGGGAGTTACCCTATTTCTTTTGTTAGGAACTCTGTTGAGAATATAACATGCAGTTAGCATGGCTTCTCCCCAGAAACCTTCACTTAGACCGGAAACTGATAACATGCAGTTTACCATTTCTTTGAGTACTCTATTTTTCCTTTCTACTACACCATTTTGTTGTGGTGTATAAGGAGCTGTGGTCTCATGAATGACACCAACAGATTGGAAAAATAATGGGTCATAATATTCACCACCTCTGTCAGTACGTAAAATTTTTACTAACTGACTAGTTTGCAATTCCACCTCCAATTTAAATATTTTAAATTTTTCTAAGGCTTCATCCTTAGAATGCAGGAGGTACACATAGCAGAGTCTTGAATAGTCATCAATAAATGTGACTATATATTTTTTATTTCCCAAAGATGGGGTGCTATGAAAATCACACAAGTCACTGTGAATTAATTCAAGTAAAATTGAATTCCTTTTTATACTAGGAAAAGGATTCCTAGTTATTTTATTTAACATGCATGCACTGCATTGTTCCATATTCAGATCAAAGGATGGAATTAATCCATCTTTAGCCATCTCACATACACGTTTATATTTTACATGACATAAACGAAAATGCCATAATGAAGATGTACAAATTGAATACACAGAACCAACAATACTATTAATATTCAACTTAAACATATTGTTTGATAGAAATCCTTGGCCTACAAAGATACCGGCCTTGGATAAAATAAATCTATCTGCTTCAAAAACAAGTTTAAAACCACACTTGTTTAATACAATGCCAGAAACTAATTTTTTTCTAACATCTGGGGCATGATACACATCTGTGAGTGTCAACTTCTTTCCTGAAGTAAGCAACAACTCAACTTGTCCAATGCCTTTGACTTTCACCATGGAATCATTTCCCATGTACAGGCTTGGACCATCATTCAGACTTTTATAAATCTTATAAAGATTTATATCCTTGCAGACATGTCTGGTTGCCCTAGTGTCAACCCACCACGAGTCATCAGTCTGCATGACACATATTTCAGATATCATAGCAATGAAATTTTCAGTACTATCAGAAACAAGATTAATTATTTTACCTTGTTTCCATTGGCCACTTCCCTGGCCATGATCACCAGAATTTTTACCTTCCATTTGTGCCTTTCTTTTCTTCCAGATTTCACAGTCTTTTTTAAAGTGTGGACCGTTGCACACCCAGCATGATACAGATGCCTTTCCTTTTCCTTTTCCTTTCTTCTTAAACTTTGAAGAATTTGTGGCCTTTCCCGGCTTCCCTTTTCCTTTACGGTTCCCACTTGATTTGCCTTCATCAATATAGTTGATGACAGAACCTGAAGCCCCGGTGACTTTTGCACTGCCTGCATTCTTACTTTCCAGCAGTCTGATTCCCTCCTCAACCCGAAGGTCGACCCCCAACTGTTCCATGGTAAGAGCTTCCTTTTTATGCTTTAAGGTACATTGTACCTTTTTCCAGGAAGGGGGCAACTTATCAATGATACTGGCTATGGCAATGGAATCATCCATATGCATATCATGTTGCCTCATTTGCCCAAGTATCCTGACAATCTCATGGAATTGTTCCATGACCGGACGATTGTCCACCATTTTATAATCATTGAATTCACTTACCAGGAATTTCTTACTGGAGGCATCCTCAGATATGTACTTTGCTTCAAGTACATCCTAGAGGTCCTTTGAGGATTCCTCATACTGATAAATATCAAAGAGGGTGTCAGACATACCGTTCAGAATATGGCCGCGACAAGCAAGGTCATCATTCTCCCATTTGAGTCTCCGGCGAGTAGCCTCAAGAGTCTCATCCTCCCGTTCCTCCGGCTTTGGGGTACTTAGTACGTATGCCACATTCAGAGCCGCAAGGAGGAACTTCATCTTCTTCTGCCACCTACGGAAGCCCACGCCTTCAAACTGCTCCAACTTAGGGAAGTTGGTTGCAAAGTCCAGAAGTCCAGAACTCATCCTTCCTAATAAACAGAATTTAAAGCTTATAGATTGTTAGAAAAATGGAGTGTTTGATGATAGGGAAGTGAGGAAACAGGATCTTCAGGCGTGTGATCACTTTCCTATAAGCTTTAAATCTCATTTATATAAAGCAACAAGGTTCAAGATTTAATCTTATGGGATACAAGAAGATGATGAAATTCTTAAGTTGCTTTGTTTAAGAATTTCCTGTAAAAATGCAGTAATGTGAAAATATCTCTGTCTTATGCAAGTTTTTGCATGTGTCTTTTCAGACATTTCTCCACATATTTATAGATGTAAATATAGCAGTTTGGAGAAGTTACATGGAAGTTAATTATTTAAATTTAAAACTTAACTTCCATAAGATATATCTTATCTGATATATCAAGCATGAGAAATATATAATTGAATATTATATATATTCATATGATATGGACCTTCGTAGGTTCATGCACTGCATACAAAATTACAAAGTAAAGTATATATATTATATATATTTATTCAATGCCCGTGAACATGCATAATAATAAATAAATAATATATATATTAATACTTTCGTGTTCAGCATGCTGTAGAAACAAACCAAACAAAAGCTTTTGAAATACTTTCGTTAATAACTTTTAAGCATGCATGCATTCATCTTTCGTTAATAACTTTTAAGCATACATGCATGCATTCATCTTTCGTGTAACACATTGTTCAAAGACAAGATAACATTTCATGCACTCATTCGTGTAACACAATGTTCAAAGACGAATGCATTTGCTTAACCAACGAAATTAACAAAAGGTCACATAATTTGTTAACGAAAGGAAACAACCCGAACCCATCTTTTCATTAACAATCGATTCAGCATCAATTCGTGATTAACGAATTGTGCATCAATTCGTGTTTAACGAAAAGTCTCGATTCAATACCACCGAATTGATTAATGCATTGATTCGTTAAGAACCAATGATTCGTTAACACCAACGAATCATTAAACTTCGGTTCCAATCGTACGTCACACTCATATTTCCCAACTTGCTTTCTACCAAACTAAAATAATATTCATAACTCCACAACTCCAAATATTATTTATACTTTCATGGTAGTACATCTGAAACATTAATCTCCATTACTATATAAATTTCCAACACTATATTGCTAAAATTGTACCCAAAAAAAAAAACTGAATACAATTAAAGTGGATCTAACATAGTTATGTCAGATCAAGGGTAATCAAAATAATTCGATAGTGGAGGCGTTATTGGCTCTTTGTGTTTCAGTAGGTTGAGAAAGTATATGAACAGATACTACAATGTAATAGAGTTAGTAACATTCAAAAAAAAAATAATTCGATAGTAAATTAATTGTTGATTTTAAATGATTTTAGTTTAATTAAACACTATAAATTTGTCCTACCTTGTAGTGTGATGACATCCCGGTTACCATTCTAATTGGATGGTTATTGGTTCGAACTCTGGTGGTGGGAGCTTAGATTCTTCGATTTGAAAATGTTTGAGAAAGTATAAAACAGATACTACCTTGTAAACAATCAAATATTTCAACAAAAAAAAAAAAAAAACTATTGGAGTACTATACATGACCTTAAAGGCTTAAAGTGGACTGACGAATAATACTATACACTTTCTGAAATTTGTTATCTTCATGTCTCTATGAGAATATATATAATTTTACTTCAAAATCATACATTTATTTATAATAGGAATATAGGATTATGCAATTGTGCAAACATAGTGAAAAAATGAAAATAAAAATAAAAATATGCAATAGCTTGGTCATAAGTGTAATGGTCCGTTTGGAAACTAGCTTTGAAAGTAACTTCCGAAAGTCATTTTCCAAAATTTCCAGTGTTTAGGTACTAAATGAAAACAAAGTCAAAGTAAAATATTCATTTTGGTCAACATAAAAAATGCTCAATTTGACGAAAAATGTCTTCCTAATTTTTTAGTCCGAAGACATTTTCTGAAATATTTATTTTATAATCTCTCTTCTCTTTTTATTTTTATAAAGATATATATATATATATATATATATATATATATATATATATATATATATATATATATATATATATATATATATATATATCATCATCATCATCATCATCATCACCACCACCAAATTGCCACAATTACCACCACACTACAACACAACTACAACATCACCACCACCACACGATTAGAGAGAGATTTCATATTTAATTCCAACAGAATAGAGGTACATGAGAGTATATCAAACTATACCACTCTCCTGACTAATAGACTAGTCACCTAAGACTTATTCTATTACAATATAACTCTAGACTAAGATAATAATAATAATAAATGTAACAAATAATAGTAACACTAACACACCCCCTCAACCACAAGGTAGGTGAGCCACCACATTGAGCTTGGCTCGAAGAGTAGAGAAACGCGGTCAATCAGCGACGTGATCCTTGGTTGAGACAAAATTAACCACAAAGTCCCCAGACGCAACCTTGTCACAGACGATATGATAGTCAATCTCTACATGCGTAGTTCGAGCATGAAAAACTGGGTTGGCACAAAGGTACGTGGCACCCAAGTTATCACACCAAATACTGGATGGTTTCCTGTCATGCAGTCCTAGCTCGCGCAGCAAAGAGACAACCCAGGTAACTTCAGCAGCGACATCAGCCAAAGCTTTGTATTCCGCTTCAGTGGAGGAGCGAGCCACGGTGCGCTGTTTCCTGGATTGCCAGGAGATGAGATTGCTCCCCAGAAAGACAGTATAGCCACTGGTGCTTTTTCTGTCCACTAGGCAACCAGCCCAGTCAGAGTCCGAATAAGCATGGATGGTAGTAGTCGGTGAAGGTGTGATCTGCAGCCCATATGTAAGAGTGCCCTTGACATAGCGCAACACACGCTTAACTAAGGCCCAGTGATCAATCATCGGAGAATGCATGAACTAGCATAAACGATTATCGGCAAAAGAGAGGTCTGGCCGAGTGATCGTGAGATACTACAACGCCCCTACTATGCAGCGATACTGTGTCAGGTTATCGAACAGTTCATCTGACGGAGTGACCGCCTTAGTGACAGAAGCCGGTGTAGAAAGGGGTTTGTATTCAACCATCCCAGCTTGCCCAAGCAAGTCAGTCATGTAACGTCGCTGCGAAAGAATCATACTATCTCCTGCCTCAACTGTTTCAATGCCCAAAAAGAGGATTGGTTTTCCTAGGTCCCGAATTTTGAAGGCAGTGGCAAGACGATTAAGGGGAGAGTTGACCAAGCCGGCATCACTACCCAACATAATGATGTCATCTACATAGACAAGTAAAAACACCTTGCACCCAATGATGTTCATGGTAGGATCCGGTGGGACTAGACACCAGGTGTTGTTGTGGAGTAGGGCATTGAATTCCTGGTCTATGGAATCCCGCCACTATGGATGGGGTACAACTTGGGAATAGCATGTTGGATCAGTTGTTGCAGTTAGGGCATGAAACTCTTCATTAGTGCCCCGAGTCATGTGCCGAAGATGCATGACGTATTGACGTGCCCCCTGTCCGGTGGGTGCACCTGAGTGGTGCGCTTCCGAGCCCGAGGTGGGGCAGTGTGCGTGATGGCTAAGAAAGGTGGCTCCTGAGCAAGTGGGACAGCCTCAGTGACCGATGTGGGATCCAGGTCACGCACATGAGCTTGCTGTAACAAAGGCACGATGGACCCCGAAGCCCAAGGTAGAGGGACTAGTGGCGGGGCCTGCTGCAAAGGTCCTGTAACAAAAGGAAACACAGACTCGTCAAATCGCACATGGCGACAGATATAGGTTTTCCCACTGAATAGATCCATACATCTGTACCCTCTATAGGACAGTGGGTAACCTAGGAAGACGCACGGGGTGGAGCGATACTCTATCTTATGCCGATTGTAGGGCCGAAGATAAGGGTAACACTGATACCCGAAGACACGAAGGAATTGATAGGGTGGTGACTTTTGTATAGACGAGAGTATGGGCCTTCAAAATTTAGGACCGAAGTCGGGAGATAATTTATTCGACACGTGGCTGTCTCAAAGGCGAAGACCCAATATTGCTGTGGGACATTGCCCTGTGCGAGAAGAGCTAAGCCTGTTTCCATGATATACCGGTTACGGTGCTCAACTCTACCATTTTGCTCGTGTGTGTAGGTACATGACTGCCGGTGATTGATACCCAATGACTGAAACGTTACATGTAATTTGCGGTATTCACCCCCTAAGTCTGATTGGATAGATTTGGTAGAGCGCGAAAACTGTCGCTCTACCAACACACGAAAAACGTCAAAAACTTTATAAATGTCTGATTTTACCCGTAATGGATAAAACCAGCAAAAGCGAGTGAAATTGTCAACAAACAATACAAAGTACCGAAAACCACTAGATGAAACTACAGGGGCAGGTCCCCAGATATCTGTATACAGTAGATCCAGTACATTGTGACTAGAATTTTTAATATTGTCTTAACTTAAAACGAGAAGACTTGCCAAGATGGCAAGCTTGACACGAACCCAAAACTTTGACATTATTCGGATGAACCAGGCAATTTTGGAGGATTTTATTTTGAACCAAACTGTGAGGGTGACCGAGCCTGCGATGCCATACCACCGGTGTTGCATGGGAAGTGACAAACGCAAAATGATTCCGGGACACAGGAAACTTGTACACACCGCTAGTGGTAGGACCCCTAAGAAGTGTGGCCTTGGTTTTGGAATCCTTCACAAAAAAACAACTGTTATGAAACTCAAAGAAAACCCCATTATCACTAGCAAATTTTTGTACAGATAATAATGGGACGGTTAATGTAGGAACATGCAACACATTAGATAGGAATAATTGTTTGGACACGGATGGGATAGAAGTATGGCCAATTCGTGAGATAGCCAAACCTGCACCGTTTCCAACCCGCAGCGTGTCCGAGCCGCCATAGTCATCCGAGTTTGTCAACATCCCGGCATTTGGTGTGGCATGCGCAGTGGCTCCAGTGTCGGGATACCATGCGTCTGCCGGAGGAACAAGAACCGCCGTGGAGTCGCCAGAAACAGCAACATTTGCCTGCGCCGGGGGTTGAGTGGAGTACCGTTTATAAAAATAAACGGTGGTATGGCCGTGAGACCGGCAGATCTGACATCTTGGGGAACCCCGTCCGGCGCGCCCACCGCGACCGTTGTTGCTGTTTCGGCCTCCGCGACCTCCTCGTCGACCGCCATCGCCATGCGTATTGCCATGGCCGCCACGTCCACGTCCGGCATAGAGCGCGGTATACGAAGCCCCTGTAACACCATTTGTCGCCGCGGGAGAATCATCCGAAAGAATGAAATCTGCGGCTTGGAGATAGTCGGCTAACTATGGCAGAGTCACCGGCGAATTGGCAGTGAGAGAGGCGACATAGGATCTGTACTCCGGTCGAAGGCCCCTTAGCACGTACAGATTCTGTTCTACAAGCGAGAGTGGCTGCCCAGCCTGTGCAAGTGCTTCGACAAGGAGCTTTGCCCTGCCGAGGTAGTTTGCCGGCGACGAGTTCCCTTGCCGGAGGGACTGGAACTTCCCAAGCAAGTTGAGGCACCTCGCTTGGGTGTTGGAGCCTAACAACAGTGTGCATCAAACCGGTGGAGTGGCCCTAGCCACGGCCCCTTGGGAGGGTCGATGGCTAGAGCCGGCCTCGATCGGGCCTATGGCACAGCCCTAGGAGAGGGCCGTTGCCTAGGCGCGGTTCTGAACGGCTCTCTTGGGGCGGCTCAAGAGGAGCCCCGCCCCAAGGACCGTTCACCTGTTCATGTGAAGTTTTGTGCAGTGGTCGGGCCCTTGTGGCTCGGCTACGTGTCGTTTCAGGCCAGGTGGCTCGGTACCTCGGGATCATCTTATCTCACGTTTTGGCTTTGATTTCGTTGATTTTGGTTGAGAAATGAGCATGTTATGAAGGTTTTGTAGATGACTTTGCTTTACAGAACATATTTGAGTTTACTGTAAATGTGTTTAACTCTATCAAATGTTGTTGAGGTTTGAATAGAAAAGTATGATCAATGTGAGTTTATGATTTATGATGAAAGCATGACTTAAATGTGATATTTGATCAATGAGTTTTGAAGCTTAACTTGTTGATAGAAATGCGTAGTTTTTGCTATGTTGCAAGTTAAATATGATATGATATTTTTTAGAATTTGATGAGTTATATACATGGTTTTGGAGCATGTTGTAGAGTATTTTACATCTCACATATTGCATATTTCAAAAATGCATAAGTCAACAACGTGAGCCCGAGTATTACTTTCAAAAATCCATAAGCATGTGGTACATCATTATTTGATGCATTGAGTAGTTGTTGAGTTGTTGTATGCATGAGTTTGATGCATGAGAGATATACTATGTATTATCTATATTGGTGAGGTTTTGGAGGATACCGTTTGGACTATGTCCTATCGGGAGATATTTTATGGACATTGCGGTCCCAGTATATGTAACGCGGCGTATTCCCACGTTACGAGGTTGGAAACTGCCCGCCAGGCTTGGAATCCTGGTCAGGGGGTGTGCACACTGATAGTTCGATACCTGATTCCACAAAGCGTGAACCACGAGATTGGTTCCGTAGACGGTAGGAGATATTGGGTCGGATCTATGCCGTTCCCGATGGGGCAATTCACGCTACGGTGAAACCCTGAGCCATCTACGAGCTAAAAGAAAGAAAAGTGAGTCAAGAGAGACTCAAGAGAAAAGAAAAGAGTCAAGAGAGACTCAAGAGAAAAGAAAAGAGTCAAGACAGACTCAAGAGAAAGAAAGCAAGAAAGAGACCCCCATAGAAAGTATTCTATTTTAAAACGAGTGTATGGGTATACTTATATTATTGCACGAGATTGCATTTGAGTATATTATTGCACGAGATTGCATTTGAGTATATTATTGCACGAGGCTGCATTTTAGTATGTTATTGCACGAGATTGCATATGAGTATGTTTATAGTATTGTACGAGTTTGCATATGAGAAGAATGTTGCTTGAGATAGCATAATGAAATTGTTTTTAAGGTTTGTATGTTGAGCATGGTTGTTTAGCTACTTTTAAGTCTTGTATGATCAGTTAAATGATGAGAACTTGAAAGCATGAGATGAGTTGTTGTTATCAACTGTCGATATTATAGGTTGCAAGCATATAGAAAGTATGTGATATGGTTATGTGTACCTATGAGATGAGTTGTTGTTATCAACTGTTTTTCAAAGTATATTCTATAGTATTTTATAGGGTTGAGTGTAGTTATACTTAGCTTCTTGCTAACGGGTGTTTTCCTATTTGTCTATTTGTTGTTTGAAAACTCCTTTCAGGTGGGCCCAGCGTTGAGAGTTGATTGAGTTAGACTAGTTTAGTAGAAACAATTAGTCTAAACTCTTTTATCGTTTGTGAATTTATCTATCGGATGTTAGAGTTATGTTTTATTTTATCGATGGATTTGTTTGACTTATGTTTGGAGTTTACAGTTGGATGTGTAGACAATCGGGATGTTTATCCTTATGACTTTTAAGTTATTAGTTTAAATGTTAGTTTGGTTTATGTTTTAATTTTACACTTAGCCTGTGCAATCATCATGAGATGGTGGTTGTGGCGGTGACATTCCCATTGTTATTATGTTATTTCCGCTAGTTAGTATTCTTAAATAGGTTTATAGTTTGTTAAGTAAGTTTAAGAAAAGTGGGGTGTTACAAATTGGTATCAGAGCGGTACGAACCGCGGGAGACTTAGGAAGTTGACCCTTAAGATTGAGTATAGAAACTCTAAGTGGAAGTCCTAGGAAGCAAAGTTAAGGAAAGACCTAGGAATGACAAGTTAAGGAAAGATCTCTAAGTTGAAGTCTTAAGAAAGACAAGTTAGGAAGAAAACTCTAAGTGTAAATCATAATAAGGATAAGATTAGGGAAAGAGCCCTGAGT